ATATAGGGTGTTGATGTCATTAGACCACACCCCTTCTCATTACAGAGATGCACATCACCTAATATGCTTAATTGGTAGTAGGCTTTCGAACCTATACAGCTTGGAGTAAGACAACATGCATGAAGAGGATGATGTGGACAAAATACTCATTTGCCTAATAATTCTGCACTCCCTGTAATATTATTATTACTATTATTATCCAGCTTTTGCTCTCTTTTTTAATTCTTGTCTGCTGCTAGTGACACCTAAGGATGGTGAGATTGTGGCTGAAAAAAAGAAAAGTAGCTGAGAAATTCCACATCCTTGCTTGACAGTTTCCTCAGTAAACATATACTATGAGCAGAGTGCACCAGCTGTTCGCAGGCTCAAGCTTAGCCAAGTTATAATATTAGCAAAGTAAAGATTTATATAGCACTAAATCAAAGCATGCAGCACTGCATAATCTGCAGTCACATGTTGAGATTAGTTACAGTACCTGCCAGGTGGGCCCATAAATATATATTTGACTGGCACACATTGATTTGACCTTTAATTAAATATTATTTTAAAAAAAAATTAGTTTGGAGGTTAAAAGGATTACTTAGGTCAGAGCTAAGCATTTAAAACTGCGTATGACACACGAACATGAGCTTTTAAACTGTTAACACCTGATTGCAGCAAATTGCATGTAATTTGTGCTTTTTCTCAGCGGGTTGGCGTTGATTGTATTATGGCTCCAAGACGGGCAAACATTAGAATACACTAGTCACAAAAGTAGAATGGAGGGAAATAAAGTCTGATTCCAGACTGTTGTCTTCAGTGCCCCTAACCAGTCACGTTTTATGGTGCCCAACCTGACCGCAACCTTAACCCTGAGCAGTAATCTTCATCTAAGGTGTGCTGGAATGATATGTTTACATTTCTATTACAGCTAAGTACATTTGAAACAGAAAATATTTTAGAATTTTAGAATACACCCATAAATCTCCTTCACAGTTTTACAGTGATAATTATCAGTGCAGCTGAAATACGTATAGCATGATGCCTCAACTAATGGCAAATCAACTCTTTGGGGAAAAATAGCACTGCCAATTCTGAAATTGGTGGTGCTATTGGTGGCCAAAGTGACTTTCTTTCTTTTCTTTTTGTCTTTTCATGACGTGTTGCTATGAAATATAGGAGCAAAATTGTTCTTTGATTGTTCCTACTGTAAGCTGTTTTAATGAAATTGCATATTAGGTTTAATAAAGCAATATAACCTAAGTCTTGTTCCCATTTATCTAATAGAAAATCTGTGAGTACGCAACCTTGAACTGGATAAGGAGAATTGGATGAATGGATGGATGGATGGAAAAAAAGCGCAATTGCAACTTAGA